GCAGGTCGGAACCCGGCTTTCGCCCCCTCCCCTCGCCCTCCCCTCCTCTTGCCCTGGCAGCATCTTCACTCGTTCGTGGTTCGTCTTTGCCCCGCCCCCCGCCCCCCCCCAGCACGCTACATCCCGTCTATGGGAAGTTCGGCAGTTGTTACTTTGACTGCTACAACATCGCCATGATCGTCATCAACGTCATATCATTCCCCCTAATTATTCTGAGTAGCCGCGTGCCGTAGCCGTGTTACTGTGTTGCTCTGTTTGGCCGCCCCGGTCCGTGTCAATGGTTAGGTCTGGTTGAGGCCTGGGCCAGCGGCGCCACCTGGTCGCAGATCATGTCGGACTCCAACCTGGACGACGGCGACATGGCCCGGCTGCTCATCCGCACCATAGACCTGCTGAAGCAGCTGCAGCACAACAGCCACCTGCTGCCGGAGCTGCGGGATGCGGCGGCGGAGGCGCTCCGAGGGATGGACCGCAAGCCGGTGGCGGAGCTGACGTTCTGATCTCTTTTTTCTTTGATTCGAGGAGGGAGGGAACGGGGCAAAGGGAGGGAAGGGGTGGAGCGGCGAGCGAGGGAAGGGGTGAGGGGAAGAGGCGGCCCCGGGGAGAGGGTGTCGTGTGGTGCTGGCGTTACGAGGCGTGGCGGTTGTGGTGGTGGTGGTGGAGATGGGGATGGTGATCGGGATAGGGATGGTGGTGGGGTGGCGAATGGAAGTGGTTAGGGATGAGCTCCATTACCCTGAGTGCCCACGGGGAGTGCGAGGTCGGGGAGGTGGTGGGTATGGGGTTGTCGTTGCGGGTACTGGAGGGGGGTTTGCAGTGAATGGAGGAGGTGTATTGGCTGTGTGCGGGGCGGTGGGGGCCCCGCCAGGGGCAGTGGGTGATCAGGTTAGCAGCGCTACGGACGGCATCACCATCACCATCACCATCACCACCAACATCACCACCAACATCACCACCAACATCACCATCATCTGTGTGGGGTCTGGGGACCCGATACGATGTGTTGGGGCCACCAGGGGGGGCTGCCTCCGGGCCACTCATGAGAGCAGGTAGAGAGAAGAATGAGATAAGAATGAACTCTGAGGTTTAGTGCTCCTGAAAAAGGAGGAGGACGAGGAGCGGGTGGGCAGCTGCAGCAATAGCAGCAGCGCAGGTACGTACATAACCCGCCTGTGAGCGAATGGGGGGTGCTGGAGTGTGTGGCCGTAGCTGGCGTATTGGCGTGTTAAATGATCTGCCTTCATCAAGAAGGCCATTCCGCAGTACGGCAGTACGGCGTCAGGTACGGAGAGCAGGTAGGGGGTGGTAGGCGGTAGTGCTTAGGTGTGGTCTTGGGTGACCGCGATCCGTCAGATGGTATGAACCCTGTTAGGGAGAGAAAGAACCGTTTTAGGTGTTGTTGTTATGCGGGGATGACTGGGGGCGTGTTGGGGCTGGCTTGGAGCTGAGATACACACGTAGGGAGCCGCGTGCGCGCGGCTCTTATAGCAGCTGGGAGTGGTGGGGGTGGGGATGGGGGTGGGGGTGGTGACGGCGGCAAGGCGCGGGGTGGGGGTGGGGGTGCGCGGGAGGGCGGGAGGGCGGGAGGGCAGCTCTGAGAGGTCCCCTGCTTAGTAGGGTGGCGGTGAGGGCCGCAGATCAAGTGCAACGATAAATGGATGGGTGGATGGTGTCGCAAATCGGATGGCAGGGCGGTGTAGGTGGTGTGCGGACGTGCATGTGCGGTACTGCCGAATGGGACCGCCCTGGCTGCTCGTAGGTTGACACAGCTCCCGTATGATGTGTGGAACAGGGGGCCATATCTTCCCCCGTGGCCGCTACCCGGCGAAACCCTGCCTTCCCCGGTATTTCGGGGCACCCTCATCCAGTCACCTTAGCCGGCTTCTGAGTGGATCTCTGTGGTTCAGCACCCACCACCAGCATCCAACGGAATCTGCCGGATTAACGGCGGCTCAATTCCATTCCATTCCAGGTTACCACCGTCCATCGACTAGGGGCACTTTACCTTCCACCATCGGAGGATATTCGACCCTGACAGGTCTCGATCCCGGAA